CGTATTCAGCCACTAGTCTTCAAATTGAAATTAGAAAAAGAACCATCAAAATCGGTTCACAAAGAGTAATAAAATTGAGAACCAAATTTTTTAAAGTCGGTTAAAAATAGGTATTTTTTACAATGTTTATTAAAAAGAAACTTGACCCACATTTGCCGATCAAGACGGGTGATCATTGTATTATCATTAATTAAAAAAATAATAATAGAAAACCATGCTTGGCATACTTAGTTTATAATGGGCAAATGATCTGGCTATTAAATAGGATGATGATATATTTTTTTTAAATATCAAGTGACGTGACGAACAAGTCTGGCAGTGCCCTTAGAACTTTTAATCGCAAATCGCATCTTAGGGACACTGCCACTGTGCCCGTCACCCTGAGACATAAGTTGACAAGTCCCATGTGCTTGTAATTTCACCAGCACCCTTACCCTTCAAAACCGGAACGCTGTAATGCCCACATTACTGCTTACTACCCTGGACAACTCTTTTATCAACTAGTCAATCTTCTTTCATTTATATAAAATAACTGCGTAAAAATATACTTCAATTGGAAAACAACAGCCACGTTGAGTATTTATGTAGGTAATCTAGGAAGATATCAGATATCTCACTTCCCACTCGTTAATAGAGTGCAATTGAGTGCTGAGATTCCACGTGCAAGGGAATTCAACTGTGTAGGTGTAAGTTTATCTGTTTTGTTCATTGTCGGGTTAGAACGATGCTACGTCAGCATTGCAATTGTCTGAAAGTTGTGGTTGAACGGTTACCATGCTGGACTGCAACGCAGAGGTCCAACATCTATTTCTCTCGTGAGTTTTGGGTTAATTTGTGGCTGTCTGTGTGTGTGTCCAATGGCATCCGCGACTCAGGGTTTCCCTAGTGCGGGGCTATGCTTATTATTGAATCGCATTAACCCATTGACTTACAATTATATGGACGTCGGGTCCGCGCTCAAAAGTGTCCGAACTTGTAAGGCGTTAAAATCGTATACAGAGCGTCAAACTCCGCTTTAGTCTTCATTTGTTCGACTGACAGCGCGATACTGCGATGACATTACAATTTAAATTCAACGTTTTAGCTTTTTCATATTCCTTTACATGTCACTACGTTTAAATAGGTTGACTTGGGACATTTTTTTCGTGGTTTTTGTATTAGTTCCGTCGTCCATTCATTTGTAAGTCAATGCATTAACCGGTAGGTAAGCGATACGCCTGTCCAAAGCAGGTGCAGTGCCACGAGCTTTAAATCGCAGACACTGCCACTGCGCCTGTCCTGTCCTGTGTCCTTTATTTGTAAGCTACGCTATTTGTAAACACATTTTGACGATACCTCAGAAGTGGTCCCATTTAAATTTGAAGAAAACATTCCACCTCTAAGGGTGGTAAAATAGGGGATGAACGACTTTTGAAGTCAGTTTTTTAGTACTCTGTATTAAGGTTATTATAAAATCATTTAGGGAGCTGTCATGAGTCTTAAAATGAATTGCCGCATCCTGTCGTACCAGACTTTACATCTGTGACAACAACTGGAACTGGCAATTTTCAATTGGGATCAATTGATATCACTGTACGTGTCTACATTCATCTTATCTTCTTACTTATCCTGTTGTTAGGTTGTTAGAGAGCTATAATATAGGATTCAAGTTCTTTATACAATAAAATACAAATCGATTTACCCGTAGAACAAAGACCTATGTGCAAGAGTGCATTTTTTCAGGACATTTCGTTGGTTCTTCTTCGCTGTGGATATCTGATCGACCGTTGTTCGATTTTATATGGAAATATAAAGATTTTATAAAAATTTTGAAAACGCCTATATATAAAACACCTAAAAAGTCGTTGAAAGACCAAGTACAAAGACACGACGCAAGCACATAGAAAAATTCGTGAGGTCCGTTGGTTCGTTCCGTGGCTTAGTTGGTATAGCGTCTGGCACGGTATGCAAGAAGACGTCGGTTCGAATCCGACCGGATCGAAGGAATTTTTTCTGAGTGTTCGATCTTTGTATTAATAATTATAACAAACTAGTGGAGTAATTTCACAAAAAATAAATGAATATCAAATTCAATAAAAAAAATTAATTAACACCTATATATAGTCCATACACTTTATTGCTTACACGCAAGAATAAGAACACTTAAAACTAATGTGGGGACAGGCGGTCTTATCGCTAAGAGCGATCTCTTCCAGACAATCTTTGAGGCAGAAGAAAGCTAATCGGAGCGGGAGACGTGGGATGCCAATTTACAAACAACAATTGTAATGTCTCATTGAAAAAAAATTGGCTTATCGACTTTTCTTGATTTCCATTTTCTCCTGCTTTATCCTTGGATGTCAATGAAACTCCTTAATTTGAAGTGGACTGTATATATTCATGTAAATGTCAATCTGACTTACAAAACAAGACAACAAGTGTTTCTAAGAGTGATTACAAAAAGTGATTGAGTAAATGACAATTATCGCTTATATTTATACCAGTACGGTGTCTCCCACATCGTACCGGTCCTATCAATTGGTCGCTACGCCGCTCGGCCAATCAGAGCTCTTGAATTAATCATTCTCGTCTGAACTCTAGCTCTGACCGGCCAGACGCGTACGGCCGTCCGTAACAGTGACAATGGAACTGTTACGAACTTCTTTGTGCATTTTATGCTTTTTTGTGGTTGTAATGGTAACGGTGGTTTGTTGATTACATGTATTGTCGAGTGAAAAGTCGAGTTTTACTCGCGGAAAATATTTTTTTTAATTTGTGATAGCCGAACTCGGAACAGCATCGTCGGCATCAGGGACCACTTCGAGAGTAGTTATACGCTTTCAAACAAAAAAGAATTTCCATGGATCCCCCCATCAGATTTTGACTTGGTGACAATGGGTACAGTTGCCGGGGCGTCTGTCACCGGGCGCCGGCTGAACGCCCAGACCGGAGTAATATGAACAAACTTGCTCAGTCTTGCTCCCTGACCCCCGCTCGCCCCACCTGTACTCCTCGCGTGTCTTTTTGGTGTTCATCCAAAGAGGATGCTGTCATTCGAAAATAATTTAAGAACTTTGACTCGTTATTTCTCACTTGACCCATTGATGTTTCAAAAGTTCCAAGTGAAAATCCTTCCCGTGAAATAGTATGTACCCAATGTTATTTTTACTTTAAGCCTTCTAAGATATCACCACAATACCACAATTTCGCCCATCGTGCGCAGTGGTGTAAATTCGACTGACGTGGGGTCTTTAGTCTCCGGTTTTCTTGCGAGATCCGGTCCGAGTGCCGGTTTCCCGGCAAATTCCGTCATAGTGGGTTTGGGGCCAAAACACATTTAGTGAGAAGGAAAACACAAAAGGTACTTACTGCTTGAAATAAGCAAATTTTGTTAAATAAATTTATTTTTTCCATCCATTTTGATATTGTCCGAAACCTTTGTTCACTTGTATATTTTATTTTTGTTTATATTACATTTTTTTTAAATGAATTAATTGTTTTTAAGTTCATATTTATCAATACTTACGCTGTTTTAGGAAGCTGTGTTCACCATATTTAAGTAATTTAATGTATAACATTGTAATATTTGTAAGTTAAGCACGGAAGAAAAATTATTGTTCTGTGAAGTGAACCAGTGAAAAAAAAAAACAAATAAGAAATCGTATTTCAACGTACAAAACTGTTTTAAAATGACAAAAAATTTTAACAATTATTTCTCCACCACGTGCATAAGAGTAACTCGTGTTGAGACGTTGCCAGCTGTATAAATAGTCCGCAGGTCATTGTTGCTTTTCAGTCACCTTGACAATGAAAATTGGCCTAGATATCCTAGACTTTTAGGCGGGTTATTAAACCTACACTTTTACGTGACTTTGCAATGCTGAGATTTTTTAACGACTTCCCAGGTTTATTTTATGATTTTGATTTCTTGCTATAATTTGACCTATCGATGTGCTTATTGAAGTTCATAAAATCTATTTGCATCTTCGTACCAGCGAATTAGTTTAGCAACAAACTTGCGAGCTTTCACACATTCTCCAAGCCATCCATTCCCCACAGACGTTTGCTTGCATGCGCACAAACAGTTCATCGCCCAAACTCACGCTGTCACGTATACACACACACATACACGCACACACACACACATCAACACACACACACACACATTAACATACACACACCTACGCTCGCACGCATGCACGCACTCGCTCGCATACTCTGTCACATTACTTACATACTTTTATAACAATTGGTTTTTTTTTCCTTTTCTTTTCTCTTTGGTAGATCAAATGGTTTTGGTATTTACTATTAAACAATGGTCTTACAAAAGTATACGATAATACGCATAAGAATATTGTTTAAAGAATGTGCTAATGGGTTACACGATAGGATGTACTTAATCCGATCGTGTATAATCCTGAAACTGACTTTAGTCCACATACGACCTACTAAGAGAGATGTACTTTTGCAAGTACGCAGATTTTTATTATAACATCAAGTGACGGGACGAACAAGTCGTGCGCCTGATGGTAAGCAACATGCCTGTCCATAACAGTTACAGTGCCACACAGAGCTTTAAATCGCAAAGATCTGAGGGGCTGTACCCCTACGTCCATTACCCTGAAACATAGTTGACAAGCCCCATGTGCCTGTAATTTCACCAGCACCCTTTAAAACCGGAACACAGTAATGCTGACAGAAGTAGGTAAGGTGGCAGTACTTTCCTGAACTCTTGCACAAGGAGTTCTACTGTTACGGAAGGTCTAATGATTGGAAATGAAACTATTTTATTTTCGGGTAAATAGCATGTAATTGTTTTTTTTTTTTCAAACAACATTTCGGATTCTTTACATGTCCTATGGTCACGGCTGACGGAAGTGATAAAGTCATCGATCGGTTAGAATTTTAACCTCTCCTGAAAAGTTTTTAATTTGCAGATGAGACCATATTACACTTGGGTGCGACTTTGCGCCGTAGTAAAGAGGTTTTTAAAACAAATATTTTGTTCATTGCAGACGATGGTGCGTGTCCTGTGTCTGGAGCACAGCCACTGTCTTCTTGCACCGGTTGATGGCCAGCGCCTTCACGTTGCCAGCTATCACAGGTTCGTCGTCATCTTTTATCATACTGTACTTTTTACGGAGGAGGAGGAGGTTTGTGATGTGTAACATTGCATGATTTAATTCCGCCTTCCCCATTCCATCATCGTTGGGATCAGACATAGGCTAGTGTTCCACGCTTATGTTGTGGATATTCCAAAGATTCGCCCGAAGCATTTCGCTGCCACATTTATATGGCGAATGGCAAAGGAGTGGAATTCCCCGCTTGCAGACTTGTTCTCAAGTTTTCAAAGCGAGAATGAATAGGCACTATTTAAGTGTGCATGCTACGCCGTCGACCTCATCGTCGCTTTCCATCAGTTACAAAAAAAACACAGTATGTCAAGGGCACCAGTGTGTTGCTGCATCCAGCCGGCTTTGCCTATGGCGCTGGAATTTAGGGCACGCCGAGCGCTGCTCGCGTTGCTTCCATATTGCTTTCCAACATCATTTATAATTGCAGCGTTTGCACCCGAATTTCGTTTAACGATTTCATAATTTCAGTTATAATTTCTTGGGGAAAATATAACTCTCAGTATTCCATTTTGATTGAGTGTCTACGAGGAGGCGCCAGGGTATTGGTGGCACCCGGACGCTACATAGTTTAGCGCCCGCGCTGGCTGCATCCGTTGATGTTGTCAATTATCACAGGTTCGTCGTCATCGCTTATCACGTCGTGCTTTTTTGGGGTAGGAGGAGGTTTGTGATTTATGATAAATTGTGACAAGGACAGGCTTTTCTGATGTCACATGTTTCATCACGATGTTTAATTCTATATATAGTTATTGTTTGTTTATTTTATTTTATTGTTATTTTATTTTACTCGGAAGAATAAATAAATAACGATTTACAAAGAATATTTTTAGGTTAAATATCGAAATTATTGTAAAAGTTAACACCACAAAAAGAAAAATTAAACACAAAAATACCTAAATTATGAAGCATAGCAAAAAGACTAAAGCGATATGAAGTGTGCAATCCTGACTTACAAAAAAACGTGCAAAAAAATTTAACAAACTGTATTCAAATTTCAGTTATTTTCAAATAGCACTGTTTCCACTTTCATTCTAAGTGTGTTTATTACGTCTGTTTGTAGGTAAAACCACATAAGTGAGATTTTCCACAAAAAGTCTTTAATTTATATAGCTATGGTAAGAAAATCACTATCTTTCTGCACGTGAAACTCAATAACAAAAAGCTACAAACTTAATAAGAGTTTCATCTGTAGAAAGACTGTGAATTTCTTACAACTGGTACGTAATTTGGAGATATTTTTTTTGCGGAAAATGTCACTTATGTAGTTTTACCTTTATTTGTACTTTTTCGAGGGGAGGTTTATTATATGTACTATTGTAAAAAGGGTTGAATTTTTGCTGTACTCATATTTTTATCACGATTTGTGAATCTACTGATGTTTGACGGTTGTGTAGGGCGATGAATAATAGTAAAAATAGAACAGTGACGCAGTCATTTCTCACGCCAATGTTTGAAAAAAATTTAAGAAATAAACATTGACTTACAAATAAATGGACGACGGGTCTAATACAAAAACCACGAAAAAAATGTCCCAAGTCAACCTATTCGAAATTTAAATTGTAATGTCATCGCAGTATCGCGCTGTCAGTCGAACAAATGAAGACTAAAGCGGAGTTTGGCGCTCTGTATACGATTTTAGCGCCTTACAAGTGCGGACACTTTTTAGCGCGGACCCGACGTCCATATAATTGTAAGTCAATGGAAATAAATATAGATTTTTAAAATGTTGTTAACAGTGAAGAAGTACAGTAGAACCATCGAGTATATAACCAGAAATAGAGACGAAATAAGGCATACATTCCTGATATCTCATCAGTGATACATCACTTATAAATATCAACTCTCGTTTGCACTGAAATATAGACAGCGCCAACAACTGACTTGTGTTACGTCTTCGTATATTCCAAAAATATTTTGTATTTATTGTAATAAAGATAATGTCTCTAACAATGGCGTGCTGTGTCGTTCGGTGGTGTGGGGAAAAACAGCAAAACATCTCATTTTAAAACAAACTGCATCAATTTTCATCGGTAACTAAATATTAATATACGTAATTTTGCAATTTACGCCATTATAGCGAAGGTCAAGTTAAAATGGTCGATTTGAAGTGAAATAATTGACGACACCCATCAATTGTTTCGAATTCGGGCTGGCCAATCGGCGCAATTGTCACCGTAATGATTTGACAGAATAGTTTTCAAACAAATTAAATGCAACTTCGTCTGTATTTCAGGTTATATATACCTAAATGTACACAACACAATAATACTTATATGAAAGTTTTCTTTTTCCTATCTTCCCTAGGCAAGCCTTCAAACCTGAAACCCCGTCCTGCAGGCAAGGAGCATCTGGACCCTGAGCCGAAAGTGGAGTGCGTCGTGCTGCATGAACCTTTGACACACAACTTGGATGTTGTCTTTGTTCATGGGTTGTACGGTACGTCATCATAAATTCTCTCTCATTTTTCGATCTCATCCATCCAAAAACCCTTTGGTTTTGAGCATAGGTCGCCATGGGTGTTGTGAGCCTTCTTCGACATGCAGGTATCGTGAACACTTTTATGGGTAGCCGTATCGTTTACCGAGATGTCAAGAATGGCAGACAACATTCTTCCATTTCCTACGATCCTGATACATTTCTTTTGCCTCATCAACACGCCAGTGCTCCGTACATGCTCGTCGGGGCCCATTTCTGATAATTTTCTTGAAACTATTGATCATTGTAATTCCACTGAGACTATATTGCTATTATGACATAGTTATTTGTTACCATTGACTTACAATTATATGGACGTCGGGTCCGCGCTAAAAAGTGTCCGAACTTATAGGGCGTTAAAATCGTATACAGAGCGTCATTCACGCTTTAGTCTTCGTTTGTTCGACTGACAGCGAAGCAAGCAAAATTAGACAGTACTGCGATGACATTACAATTTAAATTCAACGTTTTAGATTTTTCATGTTCCTTTACATGTCACTACGTTTAAATAGGTTGACTTGGGACATTTTTTTCGTGGTTTTTGTATTAGACCCGTCGTCCATTTATTTGTAAGTCAATGTTTGTTACGCAAGGCTGTAAGATTGTTGTTTAACGCGCGTGCTTGTATTGAAACCCGAGCAAGCGAAGGAAGCTAAGATTGAGAAAAATAGATTCCTGACCGTGGCGAGAGTTTCAAGGCACGACAAAACAACTTTGCAGCCGAGCGAAACACATTTTTTCACCAATCTATGGCGAGGAAAATGGTAGATGAAAGAAGAAAAATTGAAAATACAGTCAATTTGGGTAACTTTGAATCGTGGTGTAACTTTGAACGTAGTTGCGTAAAGATTGAAAAATTTATTTTATGTATAGTAATCTTTTATTTTTAGTATGGAAACTGTGTAAATCGGAACAAAATTGTTAAACGAAAGTTATGAAAGAAAAAAGTAATGTTAAATTGTATTTTTTTTATACTTTCGCGGTTTTTTCTTGGCGAAAGTAGTTTGGTGTGATTTGTTGCTCAGTTTTAGAATCGGAATTAAATATATAAATCTGAATATTGACTGATAAGTTTTGGTTTCCACACTTAAGTAGAGGTTTATATATCGCTTTTTTAAAGAATAATTTAATTTGGTTTTGTGTTTACGCGTAAAACGAATTAGATTTTGACGACGTTACCAAACAGAGAAATTTGGGTAACTTTGAATGTGTTTTTAGAGAAGAGGGTAGTCTGTTTACAGGGAGAGTTTTAAAAGTTACTCCTTTGGAAATTACTGTCTCAGTGCTCCAAAAATGCTTTTTAGGAGGTTGGTCTTGGCCCTCTAACGCTGAGACATGTCAAGTTAATAAAGCCGATATTATAAAAGAGCAACAGCTATCTAGAAAAGGCGGCCGTATTTATATTGATGACGACATTTTATTCAAGGAGTGGGGTGAATAGATTTTTGTTATGTATTTACTTTGCCTAAAATAATTGTTATAGGTGATTCATTTTGATCACGTTTGATAGCTAAATAAGCGTAGAATTTATTATTAAACAGAAAATTTCATTTTTATTCGCATTAATTAAAAAATCTAAAAAAAAAACAAGTTTTTCATTTCAACTAAATTAGTTCGTCTCGTTTTATTATGGCAATACCAAGTCAAATGTCGTTTTTGAACGCACTGTCAGGAATATTTGGACAGATTCACATCTAAAAAACATGAATATGTCGTATAATCTTACACAAACTGTAAAATATCTAGAAAATATACGGTTTCCATATCGAAGGCTAATCTTATTCAAAGTTACCCAAAATTCAAGGCAACTTTGAATGTGGCTTTTGGAGCAAATCTAGAACAGTTTTGTTGAATAATTACTAAATTCCTTCTATAAGAACGAAAAAAGGGCTTAAAAGAACACTGTTCAGTTAATAAAGTAATTGTTAAGAAACATAATTAAATTTGAAATTATTAGAAAAACATGAGAAAAACGCAAAAAATGTTCAAAGTTACCCGAATTGACTGTAAGTTTTTTTTTTACTGAAAAACTATATCTTCGGATGCGTTCTGAATTTACACATCATCAATTTTTATTCTTGCTTGTACTTTTATTTTGCGCGATTAAATGATTATTGAAATTATTTTAGTTCTTTCACGAATTAAAGTAATTTAATAAACACAAGTAGTTAATATTGTCAATTTAATGTCAACCATAATAAGAATAAAAAACATACGAACGGATTTATATTACATAAATAAGTAATGTACGACATATCGCGTAGTTGAACGCGTCCTTTATCTTTTTTTTTTCATTGAAAGGAAAAGTTTTGAGCACCACACCATAATCCTTCGTCCAGTTCGAATGTCAAAAACCTTTTCCGCGCTAGCGTGCAAAAACGCTTTTGCGCGCAGATTTCTAGTGATTAAGAAACCCTGTCCGAGCTAGTGAGGTGAAAATATAATGTTATCCTGCTAAAATCTAGCTGCAATCTAGTTGAATCTCAATAGGTTTTTTAATTAATTTTTTCATAAAAGTCATAATATACAGTTATTTACAGTTATTTGTTGGCGAGCACGCTCTTTCACAAATATAAGCAGTTCTTATTACAGGGTAATAAAAAAACTACTGACCACTTTAAAGGAGCATACTGTATAATGGAAATAAAAATACATGTTCGGTTTTTTCTTTCAAATACTTAAAGTTATCGTTAACGTCTTAACATTTTCCTAAAACTTGTGAACGATATTGACACCCGACGATTGGCAGACGCCGTTGCTATAGCAACAAGAAAGGTTTGGGGCAGTGGGCAGAATCATCGCGCGAGTTTATGTATTTGACAGACAACAAAGTATTAAACTAACGCGCGATGCATTATCGCAGGTCTGTCGTTCGGCGCCTAGGCGTCTAGACAACTAACCACGCGTTAGAAATTATTGGGAAATATTCACACCAAAAAAATGGGGAATTTTCTTTGTTTTTTATTTCACTAATATGTTCTATTACTGAATCTTATGCACAGGAAAAAAATGGACAGTGACGTTTTTTCAAGTATAAGGTACAAGTGAGAATGTACTTATTCGTTTTTATTTACCGAAATACTTTTTTGTTACAAGAAACGAAAGTAAAGCTTATATCCCTGCGATATGGTCGCTTCTTGTTTGGAGATCTAAATTAATAAATCCAATACGTCGTCGTTCAGCAATGAACCCTAGATGGCGGTACATTGATTGAAATTTCAATATGATTTCAAAACGTCGTAACTTGTAATAATAGGTATTGATTGATGGTCTTAAAGTTGCAACGATATGCCAACAGGTTACAGTTTAAATTATATTAACAATCCAGAAATTGTTGTTTCTTTTTAAATTTGAAACTAAGACCAATCAATATCAAGATTTTGTAATGTTTCAAATTAAGCATGTTTTGGCGACATCAGTATCGAGGCTTAAAGAAAAAAATAAAGAAAGGAGCTGCTCTGTCTACGGAATGAACGTACCTACCTAAACCAAAAATGTCCACCACAAATGGCGGATTTAATGTTATACCATAGTCATAAATAAGTCAATATCGACATGCAAATGTATGGCTTAAATGTTCAAACTGTTTTATGTTTGCAAATTTGTATTTACTGTAATCAAAGTATGATTAAAACTAGGCTATTATTACTAAGCAAGTGATGAGCCATTTTAATCAAAATTAAATATAAAGTTATTTACCAATAAATGTAACGATGGAATTGCATTATCCTGTTAGTTCTATTAAAATTTTACTCTTCAAAATGAAGCGAACAAACGAAGTTGGTATTTGATCCAATCCTATAATTTCCAACCATTCTTTCTTTCTTTTTTCATTTGTAGGTAAACTTTAAAACTAATAATAATGTAATAATAAAAACCTGTGGTGGATTGTTTTAATAACAGAATCGATAATATGCCTGCTTCCAAGAACAACACTATCTCAAAATAATCGTTATCAACAATCATCAAAATATGCTAACAAACAATCTAAAGTAACCAAAGCAAAATTCGGCAAGACTTATGAATAAAATACTTAAATGAGTCTAATTACATGAGATATTTGAGCTATTGTATGATTTATAGGCAAAAAAAATCACGCGTAATGTAAAATTCGGTTGATTTCCGCTTTTTCTACTGCCGCACCCCTTAATGCTGCAGGGACGCATTTTTATCAATACTTAATTGTTATCACTGTCAATATTTTTGTCCATTTCATTACAATTCATGCGAATAATTCACTAAAACATTTGGCCAAACATTGGTTTTGACATTTGATGTACTTCCCTTTGACAACCGCAAACGGCTATCAAATGGTACTACAAAAATGGCTAATTGTAGTGCTATCTCTTTTGGCTTACGACGGCACGCAGTAGTTAAACATAGACAATAAAATACAACAACAATAAATTCAACGCCTAAATGCATCATATACAATATAACGATGTCAATATAACATGTTCTTAGGTTTCCATTTTTTTCCATTTTTCTTCCGTGAATGACAGTGATGACGTTCATTCAATAATTCAGGCACTAACAATGGATATTGTCTTACTACAAAACTACGATGGAAATTACAATGCATAAAGAAATAAAAAAAACGCTTATAGGGAAAGGGTTATAGATCTACTTTCGCCAATTCGACATAATACACTAATAACTAGATTTCGCTAAAAATATCGAATAACCTAGTTGTGATAAGGAGGCGGAACTGCTGGGCGGCAGAAATTGGTTGTGTTAGTACTTCACTGGACGAACTCTTTGACAACAACAAAAACAAACAATAAACTGTACACTTTTCGTGTCATGCAAAGTCGGTTACTACAGAAATATTGTCTCTTGTGTAAATTTTAAAACACTTAATTCAAATTGTTTCAATTGTATACATTCATACCAGACATTTGTATTCAAAACAATTATTGTGAAATATTTTATGTACCTACTTCTTTGTTCTACATGTAAGGATGGATACGGAACAAATTTTAAACATGTTTTGTATTTAAAATAGAGACCTTTGCACTTTAACCTGGAATAACGCACTGCTGCCTTGCGTCAGAAATAGGGAACGGAAAATGCCTTATATTATGTCAATTCGTACTTGATATAATAGTCATATGTGATCATACTGATGTGATCATAATCCGATATACAGAATGTGTAGATATTATAATGACATCTGTGCTAATAATGATCTTTATAGTAGTAGTTACATAGTTTTTAGAAAGTCTCTACATTCCAATCTACCACCTTAATTTTGTTACGTAAATTTTTCATTCTTTTTTGTAATATCTCTTAATGGTGCTGTTTATTTGTTATATATACATATATATATATTTAGTTAGTTCCTAGGTGCTACTGTTTATTATATATACTAAAGTGTTGTGTATAGCTATAATTGGGTTGCAGGTTTATAACCATTCATGTAGAATAGTTTTTTGTCTGTTGTAAATTATGATCTGTAATCTGTTGCTGTACCTTATCCAATAAAAATAAAATAAAATACGCCAAAAATGCTTTTTAATCGACTTCAAAAAGAAGGAGAAGGTTCTCAATTGGACTGTATTTTCTTTATGTATGTTACGCGATAACTCGGCATTAGTGAACCGATTTTGGTGATTCTTTTTTGTTAGAAAGAGGGCATCTCAGTATTGGTCCCTTTTAATATGAATAAAATATTCCACCTCTAAGGGTGGCAATCTCCGGGACGATTACAATAAAATTTGGCAAATAGATGTAATTCCAAACAAATACTTATATCCTAAAATAAATTCAATGCTGACATAAATGTATGTAACGCTATCTAATCCATTTTAACTAAAAAATTATAAAACATGGTTAATTTTTCTATCATTTAGTCGCAAGCATTTTTATTTATTATTATTATTTTTTTTTTTATTGTGAATCGGCAAAATGACTGCACCGCGCCTGATGGAAAGTGCGAATACAGTCCAGAGATGAGAGTAACGGATGGAAAACACAAATATCTTCCCTCCGTCACTATCATTTTGCCGGTCTGGCCAAATGCTTCTTCACACTACGTTTGAAGGACCCGATGTTATAGAGGGGAGGGAATACATGCGCCGGGAGTTGGTTCCACAATTTGATGGTTCGGCATAAGAACGAATTGCCAAACTTTTTAGTGCGGGACGGTATTGAACTGACCGTCCAACAGTGGCAACGCAGTCCGGCACGGGTGGTCCGCTGATGGAAAGGAGAGGAAGGGATTTATGACTTGTATTGGATACAAGCAACCGGCAACTAGAAGGAAATATTCTATTTTCATACAATTAATATGAAATCGACTCAGTCGTCGGTTGCGGCAACCGGACATAGTCGCCGTTTACGGCAGTCGGACATTGGCGCCGATTGCCGCTACCGCAACTTGTATTAAAGAGTATTCGCTTCTAATTGCCGGTCGCTTGTATCTAACACAAGGCTCACGTTTGCGCGGTGCCTAAAAGTAAAAGCTAGTTTTTCAGGACATTGAACCTCATTAGCCTTTTTCTGAACTTCAAAAAAGGAGGAGGTTCTCAATTCGACTGTATGTTCTTTTTTTTGTATGTATGTTACGCGATAACTCCGGTATTTGTGAACCGATTTTCATTATTCTTTTTTTGTTGGAAAGGGGGTACTTCCATAGTGGTCCCATTTAATTTTGAAGGAAATCGTCCACCTCAAAGGGTGGCAGTTCACGCATGAAGATTCATTTTTATAAATAGCGCCTAACTTTAATTTAGGAGCAATAGCTTTTAGCAATTATTTAGTTGATTTTGCTATTTCTCCAATTCAAGGCGTTTTTCCCTCGATATACTTTGAGTAGTGTCGTAGTGAGAACCTATTTTTATTATTTCCAGTGTCAAGTCCTGTATAGTGGCGAACTAGGGGATATTTCAATGAAACTTAGCAAATAGACGTAATTCGACGTACTTTTGAGGTCGGTTTTTTAGTACTCTGTACTGAGATTATCTGATTTAGGCAAAATACGCTCAGCGTTTACCGAACTGGATGGCGGTATTACCTCAAAACGTGTTTTAAGTGATTTTGACCATTTTATCCCTGCAGCTTGATTTTGATTGCCTCCCCCGATCGGAAACTGCGTCTCTTCCGAGTCGAGGCGCATAATTTCGATCCACAATTGGCCAAATCGGAACAATAGTTGATTAAACTCACAAATTGGAAAGATATAGTCGGAATCAGGTTCATCTTCTCGCTCGGAAACCCATCCGATTTCGAGGCTCGGATGAGCTAACCGATCGCATCGATTCCTTTTTGAATTAAAATCAGCTTGCTGGTCTCTTCATATACCTAACTATAAAACTACTATTACAAAATGACTTGCTGCGGAAATGAACGTCTCCTGTTTATTCATTTACTCTGAAGCGTAGCAGTGCGAACTAAGCATTTTTATATCACATTGAGCACGCAAAGCAGGCACACTTGCGACGTTCATTTAGATAGATATCTGAGAGCATCACTGACCAGCTAAACTACCTTAGGTATCAATAATATATGAGGATGCATTAATTTGACTCTTACTTTTTTCTATGCACAGGGTCTCTTGGCAACACGTGGAGACAAGGCGAGTGGAGATCAAAATACCCAGTGGACCCAGAAAAGATCCACTTAAGAAGGCCTACGTCCACACCTATGCCTTGTAAATGCTCCGCATGCGATGCAAGTACAAATAATAACGAACTAAATAGCAATAATGGAAATATATTTAATGATCTTACATTTAATCATGATTTAAAGGATAATTTTAATGAAAACAAAAATAATGATTACGGAGGTAATGAATTTACGAATATTGACGAGAAATTTATGAAAAAGATTAAGAAAATTATTCCAAAAGACGACGTATTCATGACTGAGAAGTTTTATAATAACACTTTGTTGGACCACGTTGAAATTGTTGATAATTACGAAACACAAGTTCAATTCGTGAGGGATTTATTCAAAAGCTGTGATATTGGCTGTGATGAAAATAATGATAACAATACAAAGCACGAACAAATGAGAAATAATGAAACCAGAATTAATGGAAATGAATGTGAAGAAGAAATAAATGGAAACAAGCAAGAAGTGAACTGCGGCTGTAAAGTAAATGAAAAGAAATGTGAAATTGGGTGTGGTTGTATTTGTGACGAATGCTACTCGCCATGTTGGCCCAAAGATTGGATCAAAGTCGATTATCCCGACGCTAGAATTATTTCTATTAATTATACAAGCGATCCGCATTTGTGGAGACCTCTTTGGATTAAGGAGAATAAACGGTAAGATAAAATTTATATCTTTTATAATGTGATTTCATTACCATTATACTTTTTTATGAAACGACTTACTCTACAAAATCTCGAGTACAACAAGCAGGGTTCAATTTATTTACGAATTAAATAAAAAATAAAAAACCCAGTATGGTGATTTATAAAAAAGATGTTATAACTTAATTATATATAATTAATATATATAATATGTTTTTATTAATTATATAATATACTACAGTTTAACACAGCATACCACAACACGGATCAGTAGGCACTTACCAGACTTGTGCTCGACTCGTCACATAAATAGACTCGAGCACTAATGTCAAACTCGAGTCTATTCGGAAACACTATAGGCTCGTAATACAGTGAGCAGTGGAGTCTCTGTCTTTATGAGTTGAGTCGAGTCTTAGATGTAGATTCCCGGACATATATTTGTATTGTGGTGTTCCAAATTTATGACGTGACATGGCAAAATAATAGCGAGCACTATGTAATTAGCATAGTCGTCATGGACCCTTTTGTCATTGTTTTTTTATTATTTTAACATGAATTTATTATTTTTATTTTTTACGTTTTCTACTTTGTGTAATGTTTTAAATTTATATGTTTTGCATGTCAAATAAAGCCGATTGTATTTATTTATTTATTTAACAATTCATTGAGACCAATTCAATAAGCCCAAACACGAATTCCGCTTATTCCCAGCAGTTCCATGTACTTGGTTCTACGTGGAACAAATTGTAACCCAAATGTTCCATACATTGAACTAGTGAGAATAAATTTATTGTTTTTATCTTTATTCCCATTACTTTCTTAGATAGAGAGATTCCTACAGCGGCACATCATGATTGTCTTTACCATTTCTCAAATGCGATTTGGATTAATATTTGTGATCTTTAAAATGTTTATCGCACAAGAGATTTTTGGTAACTGGTAAACGGTTCAAAAAATTAAAGAGAAGACCTGTTTTGCTGCCGCGATCGGGCTTGGAGAGACGATGGGACGAAACAAAATAGGAAAAAAATGTGGAATGACGATGTAAGGAGCCACATCGTCAGTGTCATGATTTCCAACATTAATAACATTATAAAAAACATTTCCAGGTTACGACTCCACGAACGAGCTGAACAGATGACGCAGCAATTATTGGAACTGGGTGTGGGACAGAGGCCCATCGTATGGGTTGGCCATTCGAAGGGAGGATTGTTCATTAAGCAGATATACTGTGAAGGTATGTCTTGCATTCATCCATCTTCTAGTAGCAGTGGAACTCCATGTGAAAGAATTCGTCCAGGGAAGTACTGCCATCCTTCCTATTTCTGTCGTCAACCAGTAATGTTAGCAGTACTGGTGAAATTACAGGCACATGGGACTTGTCAACTTATGTCTCTGGGTGACGGGTGCAGTGGCAGTGCCCCTGAGGTCTTTGCGGTTTAAAACTCTGAGTGGTACTGCAACTGTTATGGACAAGCGTGTAGCTCGACTTGTTTGTCTCGTCACTTGATGTTATAAAAAAGTTGTTTTGGCTATCTATTAGTTAAAGTTGTGACGACAGCGTGACGATGTTGACCTCCTTCCTGGTCATTCCACCATTTTGACACTCTCTTTACTGGTTCCTGGCCAATTTGAAGGAGGAGGAACTCTACTGCTACTAGAATAAAATCACATAAAGAAGACACATAAATATGTCCACCTCATTGTCAATCAAGTTCATGATCCGTGTTGCGCGCGTGAGTGGCGCTTCTCTTGACATTTGGTGCGCGCATATGGCACCACCAACAGCAGCTGCGTCCGTCGCTTTCGTTCCACGTACCTGTTTCAAAATAACTAAGGATATAATTCAAAATTAGAAAAAGCATTCAGAGCATCCATGACTCGTACGTTGGACCAAGACCATTAAGCCCATATACGGTTTAGTAAAAGAAGTGTTAATGGTTTTATTACCCTATTGTAATAGAAAGGATAAGTCTTTCCAAGAGATAACATTCATCGGTGCAAATAACATTTCTTTAGCTATACAAACATATTAAAAGAATTAAGCTATATTGAAATAGCCTTTACCTTATGTATTAATATTTGTATACAAACTATAACTTTATACAACCCTTTACATTTATTTAATTTCAGCATACGAAGCCTATCAGAAGATACGTAAGAACACAAATAGCGAACAAATGCAAGAATATGATCAAGACAATATTATGAATATGGACATAGAAAATAATCAAAATAGTATTAATGATAGTAGTGAGACTACAATTAATGATTACCAAATCAGTTTTAACGACGAACAAAACAATTTTAATGATATTCGAATAAATGAAAATATAAATAATGATTTCGGATTGAATAATTTTAATGAATCAGCAAGGAATTGTAATTATGATATCATTAATGAAAATATGTGTATAAAAATTGAGAAATGTACAAATGATGAAGAGGCTGATGAAATGAAGACGACATTTAATGAAGGTACAGTACACTTACACTCATATATAGAAGACTAAATTAAAAAGTTTATAGTTTATTATATAGCCAGGGTACGTCACTCACTCAAGGTTACGCGATAAGTGTCTACCGCAAGCGTTCAAACAAGTCTTTTATTTACGAGCATTTAGTTCCGCATGACTGCACACTTATTTTTACCTCTCTGAGCGCGTGCTTAGGTTCCTTTCTCGTCGTAGTAAGCGCCTGGTGTCATTAGTCAGATTTAGTAGGCTATTATAGCGTAGGTATTTTCGATTTTGTACGAGAAAGATGTTTCTGTTACGTAGTAACTATTAAGTAATCTGTGACCAAACTGAGCAGATGATGGATCTCGTTACAGCACGCATACTTCGTACTTTTGGTATGATAAAACCCCATGTGACCTTACGTCAAATGTTATAAAAAAATAATACACATCACATGAAACAAATTAGATGTAGGTATATGTGTAATTTTATTACTCTTCTAAAAAAATTAATTAAATAGGACTTTATTCATCAAACACACACACATATACATAGAAATTCAAACGATATTATGTACTAATAAATTATGAGCTATGAGCATTGACTTTCAATTACACGGACGTCGGGTCCGCGCTAAAAAGTGTCCGAACTTATAGGGCGTTGAAATCGTATACAGAGCGTCATTCACGCTTTACTCTTCGTTTGTTCGACTGACAGCGAAGCAAGCAAAATTATACAGTACTGCAATGACATTACAATTTAAATACAACGTTTTAGCTTTTTCATATTCCTTTACATGTCACTACGTTTAAATAGGTTGACTTGTGACATTTTTTCGTGGTTTTTGTGTTAGACCCGTCGTCCATTTATTTGTAAGTCAATGGCTATGAGTGATGAAAAGGAGGAAGCTTCAGCATAGTGCTGTTTTTCTGTCACCGCCTGTGATCAGTATCGGACATTGTCGGAACATAAATCTGGTTATTTAAATCATCTTCCTTGTGAATTAGATTCTTTTGAGATAGGCCACTGTTCTAGAAAGCCATCGAATTATGTAGTATGAATATATCTTTCTTGCTATATTTTTAATTTTTCTAATTTCAGAATACGAAACGAACCAACCGCAGCGCTCGTCTCTCTGGACCAATAGCGTAGCGTTCATGTTCTACTCTGTGCCTCATCGCGGATCGCCATTGGCGGATATAAAGACGCCAGTCACCGCTCGCAGCGTCGAGTTGCAGGAGATTGCAAAAGGTAGGAAAAGATAAGAAAAGGAGAAAGGAAAATCTGGGAATGAGAATAACGTCAATGTTATCTGGATTTCTAGCATATATAATAACCCAAGTATAATAACTCCACACAAACCTAGCAGCTTGCCTCGTAGTTATGCACGCCCGCCGTGTGCCGTGTACGAAACTGGCCTCTATTCGAAAAAATGGTGTTTGATGTATGGCGATACCTACTAATTAAATTAAATCCGAAAACCATTAACTTACAAATAAATGGACGACGAGTCTAATACAAAAACCACGAAAAAAATGTCCCAAGTCAACCTATTTAAACGTAGTGACATGTAAAGGAATATGAAAAAGCTGAAACGTTGAATTTAAATTGTAATGTCATCGCAGTACTGTCTAATTTTGCTTGCTTCGCTGTCAGTCGAACAAACGAAGACTAAAGCGTGAATGACGCTCTGTATACGATTTTAACGCCCTATAAGTTCGGACACTTTTTAGCGCGGACCCGACGTCCATATAATTGTAAATCAATGCCGAAAACTTATGCCTTTGTTATTATAGATTTAAGAGACACTGCAACGTTTATGGACAGGCGTGTCGCTTATAACCAGGCGTACGACTTATTCGTCCCGTCAGTTGGTATTATAAAAAAATATTTCGATGACCTCGGTAAACTTTTTATAAAAAAAAGACATTTTTTAAACTAGTTAATCTCGGAATATTGAATTTACAGCTTGTGAATATGGACTTTGTTGTCTTTAGAATAGACCCACATAGTGTTGTTACAAAACCGTTTTTTTTTCTGAGGTGAAAAAAAAAACATGAAAAGAAAGCGTTCTTTTCTGGAGTACGTTTTTCTTCTAAAAGTATGAAAATAAAAATATGACCATATGACAATTGTATTTTTTTTACAACGTTTCCGCGCTTGTTGTTAATGTTATTCTTCATAGATAAATTGCTCAAAATAAATGGGCAACACTCACAATGTTGTTAATTTGTGGCGAATTCCCCAAATTGCGGGGAATTTCAACTGCATTGGGCATTTTGTGGGATTGACGCTATGTGGGGAAAATACGGGGATTCTACATTTTACCCTTTTTTAAAATCTATCGATTGCTGTGGTATCGCTACTTTGATAATTACTGAAAAAAATACTACTTATTTATTTATCTAAGAGCGATAACAATATTTTTTTCCACGTCGCACATATCCCTTTTATAGCAACATTTACATAGAATTATTAGCAAGCCGCTTGTATAAAATTAATCGGTAGGATTTGAAGCACTTTGTCCGGAATTATTAAATTACTACTGTTATCAGTCAGTGCGTCTTGAGCCCACGATCTCTTCCTCCCGTTTAGTTTAGGTCGGTCTCCGGTATGAAAAAATCGAAATCAGCTATTGCCAAACAAAGCCGAGCAATTGGCACGTTCACATCACAACTTGCCACTCGTCAAGCTTAAATATTAAATCTAAATTTAGGTCTAAACTTAACTCTTTTATTATTTCTAATTTTAGCATAACTTATTGTAGATGGTTACATTTTGACTTTCTTACTTCTTTGATATATTTTAAGCGATAGACTTATAGCCATAATAATATAACATATATATATTCTCAAAATAAAAGTTAGTGTCTTAATTTATTTCAGTTATTCCATTTACTTTTTCTAAAAAAAATCCCAAATTTAGAAAAAAAACCAGGCGCTGTGTTTTTTCCATTTGATTTTTTTTTCAAGTTACAACACTAGACCCACCCACATATCGGTTCTCATCTTTAAGTTTCTCATAACATATGTTTATATCAAATATTGTTTATTTCAGACTGTTCCCTCGTCCTATCGCTGCAAGAGCGCTGGTTAGACGCAACGTCGTCATCGCAACCACTCGTCCGCAGCCTGGTGGAAACACGGCGCACGCTCATGTCTGTGCTTTGGCTTCGAATTGTTAGCACCGATTCTGCTGGTAGGTTCTGTACTTTTTACGTGTTTTACGTGTCCGTTTGTCAGGAAAGAAATGTCTAGGTAATATTTATTATCTTTTTGACCTCATTTCTGAACAGATCAATAGCTCACGGTAGCTACGTTGAGGCGATAGACTTTAGTTCAAGTTCACTCGAATAGAAGGAAATTTCTTTCTGTTTGTTCGATATTTGTATCAATAATATAGAAGTATCATAAGTATTTCGTGGAATGACATCTATTTGTCAAGTTTTAGTGAAATCGGTTACCGGAAATTGTGCGAAACCGGATTTTCCCCAGTTTGCAAATTAGTTCACTGCTTTGTTATAATTATTAATATAAAATCAGAACACTTAGAAAAAAATCCTTCGATCGGGCCGGATTCGAACCGACGCGACTTCTCTTAGCAAACCGTACCAGGCGCTATGCCAACGAAGCTACGGAACGATGGATCTGACGAATTTCCCTATGTGCTTGTTGTCGGATCTTTGTATTTGGTTTTCAAGGACTTTTAGCCGTAGCGCCAACAATTTATTTTATTTTATTTATTTCATACAAACAAGGCGTACAAGAGAACATAATACAATTTTTCACCAAACTGCGAAAGCGGTTTGTTGGCGAGATCACACCCACAATCGCAAAACTATAATATATCTAGTACAAGTACATTTAACAAAACCAGTGCAGAATTTACTAAATTTACTAAACATGCTTTCAAGAAATATAAGTTTTAATTTTTTCTTCAATGTGAATTTACTTAACAATTATCTGCCTCACAAAAATCGAATTTATTAAATATAATTGGCAAGAGATGTCTATTTGTTGTTACCATAATAGCTGTTAACTCTTGGACATACATATTTATTTTCACGGGCTCGCCTAGTGTTATATACTTGTTCGTTACATTACTTTTGCTTTAACAGGAAGTATTTTACAATAGGTTAATAGTTTATAATTATAGTAATAAATAGTTTATCATAGTCTCCCTTACAACTATACTTGGTTTTACGATTTACTAAATATTTAAAAAATTTTAATTGTAGGATTTTTAAGTCGCTTAGGTATGTTTCTATGAGAAATCTATGAAAGTATTTCGTCACCCAGTTAGGTGCCTTTACAGCTATCAGCTCTGGCCAGAGATGTCGCTATTAACTGTAATTCAATTTTTATTGAATACCAAAATGTTTAACCACCAGATATTCAATGTTTCTTTGTCAAATTACTCCATTAGTTTGTTATAATTATTAATACTAAGATCGAACGCTTACAAAAAATTCCTTCGATCCAGCCGCATTCGAATCGACGACATCTCCTAGCAAGGAACGAACCAGCGGACCTCACGAATTTTTCTATGTGCTTGTTATTAAAATTATTTGTAATTCACTTTTCAATACACATTTGCAAGCCGTGGCGATCTTTCATTGATGCAAAATTTAGTATATATCATTGACTTACAATTACATGGACGTCGGGTCCGCGCTAAAAAGTGTCCGAACTTATAGGGCGTTAAAATCGTATGCAGAGCGTCATTCACGCTTTAGTCTTCGTTTGTTCGACTGACAGCGAATCAAGCAAAATTAGACAGTACTGCGATGACATTACAATTTAAATTCAACGTTTCAGCTTTTTCATATTCCTTTACACGTTTAAATAGGTTGACTTGGGACATTTTTTCGTGGTTTTTGTATTAGACCCGTCGTCCATTTATTTGTAAGTCAATGGTATATATATATATTTTTATAATATCAAATGACGGGACGAACAAATAGTGCGCCTGGTGGTAAACTGCAGTTGCAGTATCACTCAGAGCTTTAAGTCGCAAAGACCATCCCGTCACCCTGAGACAAAAGTTGACAAGTCCCATGTGCCTGTAATTTCACCAACACCCTTACCCTTCAAAACCGGAACACAGTAATGCTGAGATTACTGCTTGGCGGCAGAAATAGGTAAGGTGCTAGTACTTCCATGGACTCTTTCACAAGGAGCTCTACTGCTACAACCTGTGTGTTACTGTTTATGTCTTGTTGGTTGCCCAATAAATGAATAAATAAAATAAAAAATACTTTTTTTAAATTTTTTTTATTATTTATTTATTTATATCAGGTAACAAAAAGACCCATGTATACATACTTTATAGACTAACATACATAACAATATAAAAACAAAATACACCTATATTATATATAACTGCCTCTGTGGCCGAACGGTTACCATGCAGAGGTCCCAGGTTCGATTCCCGGGCCGGGAGAAATATTTGTATGACCTACATTTGTTTCTCTCGTGAGTTTGGGTGTAATTTGTGGTTGTCTATATGTGTGTCCATGGCACCCGCGACACAGGGTTTCCCTAGTGCGGGGCTATGTTGAGTGTGTGTGTTATTATTATTATTATTATTATATACCTTTAAACTAACATACGTACAATATAATAATAAACAACTAATCTATACGATTTCACTTATCGGCGACGTGCGGCGCAATCTGGTGTCAGGTAACCGGCCGCGGAATCGCCGATATATGACACCCTTCGGCCAAAATTCCTCTTTCATGAAGGTCGAAAGATGTTCGGTCGGTATGCTCCCCAAAAACGAATTAAAGTTCACGTTGCGGCGAGGCTCCAACCGCTCGACCCTCAGTCCTTCAGTAATCCTTTTATACCTTTCAGATCCAGGAATTGGAGCGCTATGCGGTGTTTCCGTGGACCACAGAGAAATCTGCAAGCCAACAAGCCGGCATTGCCTGCTCTACACTGAACTTGCCAAACTTATCAGAGTTGCCGTCAATAAAAATAAATAAATGACAAACTATACCACTTGCCACCTTATTAGTAACGGTCACCGTTATTCTTGAGAAAGATGTTTTACTTCTGTAGAGTCCGTCTTTTTTGAAAACGGAGTAAAATGACAGTTCATTGCGTAAGAATGTTGCCCGCTTGCGAGTTATTATAATTCTTCAATATATAATAACTTTTAACCATTGTGTATATAACCAGAAATAGAGGCCATCCATCCCTGGCAACTCATCAGGTAAATGGGCCTTATATCACTTTTAAAAATCAACTCTCGTTTGTGCTGAAATTACAAATTAGAAAGCTGAAATAGTACAGCGCCAACAACTGACCTGTGTGTACGTCTATGTATATTCCAAAAATATTCTGAATTTATTATAATAAAGATAATATCTCTAACAATAGGGGCTGTTCCATTTGGTGGTGTGGGAAAAACAACAAAACATCTAATTACAAAACAAACGTTCACATCACTTCATATCACATTTCATCGGTAATCAAATATTAAATATGTAATTTTTCAATTTCCGTCCATTATAGCAAAGCTTAAGTTAAACTGGTCGATTTGAAGTGAAACAATCGACGACACCCATCAATTGTTTCGAATTCGGGCTGACCAATCGGAGAGCAGTTGTCACCGTAATGATTTGACAGAATAATTTTCAAACAAATTAAATGACATTTTGTCTCTATTTCTGGTTATATACTCGATGTTGACACTCTATCGACACACAACTTAGTTGATTTAAAATTAGCAGGCTTGGAGGCCCTGCTGATGAGTACCATATCTCTTTCCAGACAAACTGAAGCGACCAAAGTTTGTGAATAAACTCATTTATATGGTAATAATCAATGATTCATACAGTATTTTGTGATTTCATTTCAATTCACCTTAATGACGTACTGAGTGAAGACAACACTATTTTTATTACACTACAAAATGGCAACCCACTAAACGTCAGCTTATTATTATTAATAAATTTATCATTAATTAATTTAATTTTGACATTTTTGTAACAATAGCATTTACCCAATTAAAATAGTGATATGCTGACTTGATGATAGAAATGACAGACAGACTCCTCAATAGTGTACAGCAGCTACCTTGTGTTAAAGTTCATACGGGTTGGTTCCACAAATCCCCACTAAAAATCCCCATCGGTGGAGATCCTAAAGTTTGATTTAATTTCATTCCACAAATCCCCACTGGAGTAGTACTTGCTATTAGCGGTTATTACACGGCTATTTTTAGCAGCGACGCAACCGCGATGCACGTTTTAAATTAATGAATTAATTTATTTATTTAATGTATTTATTAATTTCACTTTTAAATTTACAATTAGCAAAACAAAATAATGTGCATAAACCTATACAATTTTTCGTACATCATGATTCAATATAAGCGACTGTGCCGACTCCACCAGTGGGGATTTGTGGAACAGCTCATACGATTCGTTTTGACGAGGACTTCCATCGACCCATTTATGCGTCCCACTGCTGGGCAAGGGCCTCTTCTGTGCAAATTACGTTCCTTGCATTTAAAACTATTAATTTTCACAATTTGACAAATGCATTTATCAAGACCATCGCTTGGCAATTTATTAAGCAGTAATGGTAACACAGCGAGTATATAACCAGAAATAGAGACGAAGTAAGGGCCATCCATACTGGCACTTTTAAATATCAACTCCTGTTTGCGATGAAATCACAAATTAGAAAACTGCCCTGCGTGTACGTCTCCGTATATTCCAAAAATATTCTGTATTTATTGTAATAAACATAATATCTCTAACAATAGGGGCTGTTCCATTCGATGGTGCAGGAAAAACAGCAAAACATCTCATTACAAAACATACGGAATCACATTTCATCGGTAATTAATCAATTAAATATGTAATTTTGCAATTTTCGTTTATTATATCTAAGCTCAAGTTAAACTCGTCCTTTTTCATGAGTAATGATTTCTCAGAATGGTTTTCAAACAAATTAAAAGACATTTCGTCTCTATTTCTGACATGATACTCGATGTGGTAACATGTGTCTCCAGGAACGCCTTCCATAATTGTTATTGTATGGAGGAAGAACATACCTTGGTAGGTAATTTAGATTACACATTTGACCAATTCTTGTCGTTTAGAACAACATGGCGATTTTACCTATTTCATCACAAATTTATTACAATATATTTATTATACTATGTACCTATGTCTAAGATTCTACGATACCTAAACAAGTTGTTCCGATCATTTCTACATTTATTTTTATGCGCTTGTGAATAAAATGTCTTATTGTATCTATTAAAAGTGGTATGTACGTTATCTCGCAAATCTACACGTTTATAGGTCCTACTTTGTCGTCAATTTGTAGAATTTTTTGTTGAAATATACTTACTATTGCTTTGAAATATAATTTTCCCTTTTTATCTTTAAATAAAGGGAATCCCGAAAGTGTGTACGTCTCCATTATGGTACGCAAAGAATTGCTCTTTGCTCAAGTTCAATTTAAAAAATGTTGACGACCATCAATTAATACCTCAAGTTACGTCAAGTTACGTAGAAAAAAGCATGGCAAGTGTAAACGAATTCCTATAGTTTTTTCCATCCTTTAAGAAACGATGTTACGTTTAAAAACGAATATTTACAATATCTTCCATTATGGTTTTACGTATTTTTAGAAGTTAATTTTTTTTTCTCCGATTTATTTCCAATTTTTATGAATGAAACATTTACCGTTTATTTTACATGGAAATAAATTTTCAACCAACCACGACTAATAAAATGCGAGACCAAAATGGACATTGTTCTTTTGACTTTTCGTTGTCGTAACCACAAATATAGTTTTTGAAGGGAAATAAAAAATTTTTCACTTCTTATGTTCTTAAAGTTCGTATTTATGCTGGGTGTAGGCTGCATAAAATAGGATTTTATGCTCTAGTGCATAAAAAAAACCATCACGTTAAATATGTCTAATTGTTGTAATTTTACATTCAATTTTAATTAAATAATCGTTTATTTGTAATATTGCTGTTTAATTTCGTCGCAATCGAAGTGAAAAGCAGAGTGTAAAACTCGTTCATAAAACCCATTTTACCATCGACTTAAGTATCCACATTCGCCTGCGGCTCGGGTGGATATACTCATCTCGGGTGCAATCACGCGTTTTATGCACTTGTTGTATCACACAATCTACCATTCATGTTTTTAAGTTAGAAGCAAGTAGAAAATTATATTGCTTGGCTGCAAAACAATCATTCTTTTAATCACTGTCATCGTTGACTTACAAATAAACGGACGACGGGTCTAATACAGAAACCACGAAAAAAATGTCCCAAGTCAACCTATTGAAACGTAGTGCCATGTAAAGGAATATGAAAAAGCTAAAACGTTGAATTTAAATTGTAATGTCATCGCAGTACTGTCTAATTTTGCTTGCTTCGCTGTCAGTCGAACAAACGAAGACTAAAGCGTGAATGACGCTCTGTATACGATTTTAACGCCCTATAAGTTCGGACACTTTTTAGCGCGGACCCGACGTCCATATAATTGTAAGTCAATGACTGTCATATAAAAAATCGATACATTACATTTTAGATTGCATTCATTTAATTTTAATAAAAACTCTTTCCAAAAATACATATTTTTAAGAAAAATTTGTTAGTTAAATTTATTGTATCAATAAATACCTAATCATTATTTCGTGCCATACCTTTGTTTTATTCAATTTTATATGATCATCTTCATTCAAAGCAGTCCGGGGCCGGACCTGCGGGAAGCAAATGCGTGCAGCACAGATTTTAAAGAAATCACCATCATGTCACTCTTGAATAGTGACAATGAAAAATTTCGGCATTTATTAGCGTTACGGAAGCCACTCAAAAGAAATTTCGACCGAATTCATATTGAAACTTAAAAAACACACTCAATAGTAAAAAAAATACCGTCGACCCAGACGCGCTCTGCCGCTGCCGCTCTCTGTGAACGGTTGCATCGGATGGTCTCAATGTAATATAACTCCAGCGCTCGGTTTCAATTTGGTAAGGTGCTTAAGAACTCGAACATTACAAAAATTCCAGGGCCCGGAACGCTCCCGCTACCGCCTTTACAGAGCATTATTAAATATAATATAAATAAGATATTTGTTATAGTGTAACGGCTTTTCATGCTTATTATAATATTATACAATATATCATGTCATACACTCTATAAATAACACACATAGTGGATTTTTTTTTTAAAGTAATGCAAACATTTCCGACCATCTTTGAGAAAAATATTTTTAAGTTCACATTACTTTAAGGTCCATAAAATTAAGTATGTAGTTATGTACTAACAATGAAACAAATTCATAAAATTCCTAAGGAAATAACCAGCTATATTTTCTGTCTATATATTCAGACAGTTTTACTACTTGTCTTTACTTAACCACTGGTACCTATTTGATAAAAAGTTGGCATCGATTAACAATGTTCAACGTCATACGATTTTTAAAGATATTCGCTGTGATATTTGTAAGCCTTGTAGATTGCTTTGAAAATGACTATCTGGACTTGGAAGGGTATATTTCTCAATCCCAGGAGAGTGGTAGGAATGAAATTAAAAAGATTCTACAACCGGTGAACCATTTTGATGCTCAAGACACGAGAACTTGGAACATGACCTATATTCAAAATCTAGAATTTTGGAAACCAAATGGACCGATATATATAAACATTGGTGGTCCATTTCCATACGAAGTTCAAAACAACATTTTCAAGAAGGGATTCTTTCTCTATGACCTTGTGAATGAAACCAACGGGGCTTTATTCGGTTCGGAACATAGATACTACGGATCAACTACACCATTGAACCTTACAAAGACAGATAACCTAAAATATTTAAACTCACAACAAGCTCTTGCTGATGTAGCAAAATTAATCAAATATGTGAAGTCAATGTTGAAGGCTGAAAATTCAAAAGTCGTTGTGGTTGGTGGAAATATGGATGGAAATGCAGGGAATTTGGCTGCATGGATGAGGCTGTTCTATAGCGACTTAGTAGACGCAGCAGTCTCAGCTAGTGGAGCTGTTCTGGCTAAGGCAGACTTTAAAGATTACTATGAAACCGTTGGTGAAAATTTTTTGAAATACGGCACTCCGGGTTGTTACGACAAAATAGCCAAACTGTTTAATAAATTCCAAACTCTACTTAGTACTCCGGAAGGTATAAAACAGCTTAAAAAAGAAGATGATATATGTGATTTTGTCGATATGTCCAAGAAAGAAAATCAACAAATATTTTTCAGTAAAAATTTATTTTCTTTCAGAATATTTTCTGCTATTGCCAATGATGCTGATTATTTCAAAGTTGTATGTGAGAAAAATTTCAATGATACTAGCATAAAATCAAAATTACCCCAATCGAAAAGTGATCATATTGCAAAGGATGGACAAGACTGGTGTAATAACTATGATTTTGATTTCAATTTCAACACACCAACAAAATTTCCTTTGTTGTACCAAATGTGTACAGAATTCGGATCTTTCCCGACCACAGAAGAAGGTAAGCATCCTTTTACCAATGGTGTACCAGTGGAATACTACTACAAGGCATGTAAAGTACAATTTGGACCCGAATTTGGTAAAAACAGAATCGAAGACGCGGTTAAAGCTACAAACGAAATGTACGGAGGCCTTCATCCAAACGTAACAAAAGTGGTCTTTGTCAATGGCGAATTCGACCCTTACCGGAAACTTGGTGTCACAGAAAACTTGTCAGACGATGCTCCGGCGTTTGTCATTGCAAATTCTGGCCGTGCTGGGCTGCTCGAAAATAAAGATAGCAAGAACAAGGAGCTAATAGAGGCTAAGAAAAAAGTGAAGTCATTGATAAAAAAATGGATTGGTTTGTGAAAATTTGGTACTATGTTAATACTAATATAATGCGGGGCGCCTTTGCCTGGTTTGGAAATTGCTATACAGTACAAAATTATCAGCGTATTCAGTTAAATTACTATTTTGTATTTTTATTGAATTGATATTCAATTATTTTTTGTGAAATTACTCCACTAGTTTGTTATAATTATTAATACAAAGATCGAACACTCAGAAAAAATTTCTTCGATCCGGCCGGATTCGAACCGACGTCTTCTAGCTTACCGTGTCAGACGCTATACCAACTAAGCCACGGAACGAACCAGCGGATCTCACGAATTTTTCTATGTGCTTGCGTCGTGTCTTTGTACTTGGTTTTTCAACGACTTTTCTATGAAAATACTATTTTGTAATTAATTCAATCATAATATTGTAATAATAAAATATCTTCGTTTGTTTTTTTTCTCAAGTCCTACCTTAAAGGGAGCATTCATTATCCTGCATTGCAGTCCGCCTTGCCGTCCGCCACGTAATGCTGGCTTATGAACGTAGTCTCGTGCAAGCTATCCTGCAATGCGTCCTGCTAGACTCCATACGTGGGCCATTCGCAGGATAGTATGTGAGTAGTTTCCTGCCAGCGCGGTAAACTGCCATGCAGGTAGCGAATAGGCCGTTGTATCTAGGTGGATAAGCAAATATTACCTAATTGATTTAAATTTTAGATTTTTCGTTTCGACGTTCCGGACGTGTTGCAACGTCCACGGTTTCGAAAGGATGAAGAAGTTGGCGTCAACATCTTCTACCCGTGCGAGTTTTTCTGACCCACACTCGGTCTTGATTATTTATTTGTGCACTAAGTTAGTCACTACACCAAAATAACGACAAAACTTTCTATTTATTTAAATTTATTATCAAATTGTTAATTTGGATAGATTACTTTAAGAACAGGTTTAAAAAGCCAGTGTGTGAATATGAAGGAAATTTGATGTGAAATCATTCCATTCAAATCCATTTCAGCATATTTATGCTTCAATTCAATTCAATTCAATTCATTTATTCATTCGTTACTACAGGTACATGATATAGATGGTAATAATAATTTTATGGAATCTCTGCAATAAGCCAAAGTGGCATACGAAGTCAATTAAATAAAAATGTAATGTCAAAATAATTTTTTTTTTAAATTTATTAAGGCTTTGGCAAAGCCATCAGCCTAAACATGAAGTTTAATTATGTTTCTGTAAATATGGCCGCCACAAAGAGGATAGGCAATTTGAGGCGGCGTGCTTGGATTGACTCGGGATTCCTTAAAACAGGCCGATACGGGTATTTTAGTTCGAGATTCGTATAATTTCGCGTTTTAATCTTCGATTAAGGCACAATAGCACTATCCTATTCCACTTTAAACTAGATTTCACAAAATAATTGAAAGTCAAAATAAAAACGACACTTTTCCCTCCAAAAGGTCCAGAGCGAATACATGTCAAAATAATAATAAAAGAAAAATGGATACAATGTCAAAAAACTAATAATAATTAAAAAGTCTAAAAATATTAATAACTAAATGGTACCCAACTGTCAGCATTTACCTATTGTAAGAAACTGTTATTAAAATATTCTTCTATGCTATAGTAACACTTGTCAATTAATAATTGTTTTAATACATGCTTGAATTGCTTTCCACTAAGATTTTTTATTGCGTCTGGAATTTTATTAAATACTTTGGGTGCCATATCAACAACACTATTTTTGTATAGGGCCGTTTTACATATATTTCTTCGGACCATATATTTCCTGGTACGAAATAAGTGCTTCAAGATACGAGTTTGACATACTAAGGCGACGATTTGCTAATATCTGGATCCCACGATGATGACAGCTTAATTTTCACTTAAGGTTCACGAGTGTTACTTCCATTTTTCCCTTGCTTGCTTTGGCTGGGTACACACACGGCGTAGAAATCTGCCTTCCGCGCAAAGGCGTTCACGAGTCTTCCGATTTGCGTTGCGGAGAGACTTGCGCGCTGCGTGGAGCCTTCCCTTCGTTTTGGTTGTAGTGGACGCGTGCATCTTCTGCTACTCTGTGATTGGCCAGTGGTGCTGTTTTCTGCAAACGTCACCTGTTGCTTGCGTGGAAATATCAAGCTTGCTAGATATCAAATTCATGCAACGCGAAGCAAGCGGCCGGCGCAAGCGAAGCGACTCGTGAACAGTGCTGCCTGAGTGAAGCGATCCTAAGAGGGAGCAGAGGAAAAATTCCTAATCTTCGATTTGGTTTTGGAGGGGTATATCCACTTTAAAGTTAAAAATAAAATATTGTATCAGTAACTACACGATATATTCAAGCATAGACACTAATCAGAAACATAATACAATAAACTTTCCTCGATAGATAAAAATCACGAAATGACCTCTAATTTTCACATTTTTTCGATTTATCCTCGAAATGCTACAGGTTATCAGGACAAAAATTAGATAATTAATTATATTTATGCATGATCGAGAACTGTCACTACGGATTTTTTTTAATCCCTTTAGTTTTAGAGTTATTCCGCTAAAACGAATTTGGTACTTTTAATACGCAAAATTCAACATCTCCTGTCGCATGTCACGCGAACTTCTGGCATATATGTATTTGTCTCACAAATGTGGGCGGAGCCAACGTCAAACCTTTTTCGGCATGCTCCCTCTTAAGTCGAGCAATTTTTAAATTTCAATAGCTTCACGTACAGTTCTACTATAGTAATGACTCCACACATAGGTATTCATAATAATAAAAGAAACATGGTCTTGTTTCTGTACTGCGTTGAAAGCCCATCATTTAGTATATGAAGTCTTAATATCGGGGACAAGGTTAACCTTAATACCTATTATCGATTACAAGTTTTAGATGTGCACAGTTCAAGACTGGATCGTGGCGAAGATTTTCCTATATGGTACAATAGGATTTGTGTTCACTTGTACAGTGGACTTTATTTTTATAGTAAAAAACACTTGTGTGTAGGCTGAGCATTGACTTACAAATAAATGGACGACGGGTCTAATACAAAAACCACGAAAAAAATGTAAGTCAACCTATATAAACGTAGTGACATGTAAAGGAATATGAAAAAGCTAAAACGTTGAATTTAAATTGTAATGTCATCGCAGTACTGTCTAATTTTGCTTGCTTCGCTGTCAGTCGAACAAACGAAGACTAAAGCGTGAATGCCGCTCTGTATACGATTTTAACGCCCTATAAGTTCGGACACTTTTTAGCGCGGACCCGACGTCCATATAATTGTAAGTCAATGAGGCTGAGCTGTTGTTTTGATCCCCCAAAATGTGGTCATTGTACTTCGCGAGCGTATTTCCATAAATAATTTTCGGAAAAATCACAGTGAAGAAATTCACATTGCTGATGTAACATCTTTTTTTATTTTACGCACAATACTTGTTTGGTGGAGTATATTTACCACGTGTTGCATGAAAAGTGGCATTTTTACATGGAGAAGATTAAATAAGGATCGTTTATAGGTCATAACTTTTTCTGGCACATCTTTTCCTGTACCTTAACAATTGTAGGAACCTTTTTAGTTCTCCAATACTGGTAAAATATGAAATTATTAGAAATGTATTCACTGAACTCTAACTTTATCGATCCACTTAGAATATTTCCTTTCCAGGCAAATTTCTTTTAAATTACCGTCGCGGTCACGGCAAAGAGTCGTCAAAGCAACTTCTAAGGCAGAGTTTTAAACCGACTTCAAAAAAGAAGGAGGTTCTCAGTTCGACTGCATGTTTTTTCTTTTCTTTTTTTTATATGTACATATGTTACGCGATAACTCCGGTATTTGTGAACCGATTTTCATGATTTTTTTTTTGTTGGAAAGAGGGTACCTCCATAGTGGTCCCATTTCATTTTGAAGAAAATCATCCACCTCTAAGGTAGGCTGTTCCCGCATGAAGATTCATTTTTATTAATAGAGCCTAAATTTTATTGTAAGGAGCAAGAGCAATTATTTCAATGGTTGATTTTACTATTCTCCAATTCAAGGCGTTTTTCTCTCTCAATATACTTTGCGTAGTGAGAACCGATTTTTATTATCTCCTGTGTCAAGTTCCGTATAGTGGCGAACTAGGGGATGAATCCGGGTTTGCTCACTTTCCGGTAACCGATTTCAATAAAACTCGATAATTATATGTACTTCCACGTACTTTTGAGGTCGGTTTCTTTAGTACTCTGTACTGAGATTATCTTTTACGATTTTTGCAGCTTTAAGAGCGTGCACAATAAAATTCACATTTTCATGTTGAGAGCATGCATGTGTCTCTTGCTGTTGATTTTGAACTTATGATTTAAAAGGACGGTATCTGCAGAATACTCAATACTCAATTCTTTATTGCATTCCCAAAAGTTTACATTTGTAGCAGCTAGCAGGTGGACACGCTTAAATTAGAGCTTAGCTTAGAAATTTGGGACCCTGTTGGGCACAGCAATGTACATAGAGAGGGCAACATTTCACTTACTTGAATTATTTTAAATCAATAAACATTTCAACATCAAATAAAATCTTCAAAAACAACATGCAATAACTACAATTTATATAAGCATACAATTCTTAAATTACAAATAAAATCTATTAGTCGAGTTCTTAGGTTTTCGCAATTGTTACACATAGGAAATGAAACTATTTTTCCGGATTTTAGTTTTTTCAAACAAACCGACGTTTCGGGCCCTTTACAGGTCCCATGGTCTTAGGTTTTCGCGATTGTTGTGTGTTGTCGTCGAAACGTCGGTTTGTTTGAAAAAACAAATATACGCGATTGAAATCCGGAAAAATAGTTTCATTTCCTAAAATCTATTAATATTACAATAAATGTCTATGAATTCCATTAACAAATAAAAATAATTAATAATAACAAACATCTCAATATTTTTACGCCTAGTATTTATGTATGTATTTCTATTAAGTACAGGTAAGTATATTGGTATATTAATGTAACTTATCAGGAACATATTCCTTTATCATTGAAATATTCGTTTACATGGTAGTAACTTTTACTTACTAATATTTTTTTCAGATGGGATTTAAAATTGCTGTCGTGAGGTATTTCTTTTATGGAGTTCGGTAACTTATTATAAATTTTTATAGACATTACAAACGGACTTGATGAATGGAGAGAGATCGTTGATTTTGGTAACATAAGTCTGTTTTGGTGTCTAAAACAATAGTTTGTAGGTACGTCT